TTACAAAACGCAAGATTAGGGAGCAGTTAATATTCAGGTATTCTTGGGGATGCATCAGATATGTCGGATCGGCATCGGCCTTGATACTGACCTTTTTCAGTGTGTTCATCTCCTCACCATGTTGACACTGACATACCTGGCAACCACTACACTAGTCATTCTCTCTCCCTTTTGCAGTCTGTCTCTCCTTATCTTTTTTTTTTTTGGGGGGGGGGGGCTCTTGCTGTACAAACTGATCAAAATATAACTTCCTATATTCTGTGTATGGGAGCGTGGAGGATGGCTGCTGACCACCTGGCACCTATGAAAATATTTACTCAGGAAAATCACTGCTAAGGGACTTTTCTCTTGACATACCTCATTCCTCTTGTTCCCTTTCTCTGCGTTTCCACATCCAAGAAGACTTGATACTGATTAAAACAAACACACAGTCTTCAGGCATTACCCACTTTGTGGAGATAAGTGGCAAAGCTGCTGGAGACTGGGAATGGTAAGCAGTTGGGAAATGAATCTCAGCAGAAGAGATGCGTTCCGAGGACGATGGGGGGCGCTGGAAGCAATATTTTGGAAAGGGGGGAGCTGAATTACTTTTGTGGGGCGTTTGTTAGTTGGAAATTCTAAGGTGAGTTTACACCAAAGATTCACAACAATATGAGTTTAAACTTTAAACTACTTGCAAAAAAACTGTGGTCTGCAAAACTAAAACCTGCCAGTTTAGTCCACTGCGCCTGGACGAGAAGGTATATTTTTTCTCTGTCAGCTTACTTGTGGTGTAGCTCCATGCTGCCTTCATGGGAACGGGAAATCAGAGTATCATCTGTAAAATATTAATGTAAATGTAACGTTAAAAACTGAAGCCCTGACACTTTATCAGAGGTGCTGAAGTTAACATGTGTGTTTTTGTTCGTGAGAATTCTGCCTGATCACGGGTGTTGTCAGTTAGCTTCATTTTCCCCCGGCATGAACACCTCCTCGTCTCATCCAGTTCTGTGTCTGTCAGACGGTCGAGGGGATACTTCCAGCGAATCAGTAAAGTAATGCAGTATAGTATAGTAAAGACTTTATAGTAAAAATATTATGAATTCTCTTTAAATAGGCTAATGAAGTTAATCTCCTAATATTACTACTTTTTTTCTTTACATGTCAGAGAACTCAGATATGTGGGAGAGATTCTGAATGTGCAGAAAGTTTTGAACGTGAGCAGATAAGTGTTTCCCATACGTTCATTTATTTATGCCGGCCCACCACAATATCAACGCTGACCACCACATATTGATTTTCTATTTCTTTTACTAGGCCTATTTGATTGCAAAGCTGCAGGCGTATCTGCAAGCTCATCCTCTCGCTCGTCCCTCTCTCTCCCTCTTCCTCATGAACACAGCTGCACAAATCAGTCCAACACAACAATGTCAATGTCAGAGACCCAGCTTAAAAAAGTTATTAGCAAACATCTAAGGAGCCCAGCTAATAAGGAGAGCTAAGTTAATGTTAGAGTACAGCTGGGTTTTCGAGGCTTGTAGTCAATATAGCCGTAATTTTGTTACGGGAAAGTAATTAATATGTTGTTTGTGAGTCAATTATGTGCTTTTTTCCCATGTTTTTAATAACAATAACAATAAAAAAAAATTAACAATATTCAGAGAAAATAGCCAATATCTTTTTGATGGGGGGCGGTAAGGGACCTGGATAATGGACAGGGGGGTGCTGGCCCAAAAAAGGTTGAGAACCACTGACCTAGAGGAAGGAAAGGCAAGAAGAAAGGAGGGAAAACACACGCAAAGGCTAATGCAATCATTAATAAAGACAAATTTTCTTGTCTCTGTCAGTGTTTCTATGTCTGTGGCTGTAAGTGAGTGTCGGCCTTTTTGAGCGTCCTGGTGTGTGATGAAGTATGTGAAAGGTTGACTGAGAGAGTGTGAGAAAAGGAACAGACAGAGAGACAAAAACACATGTACTGTGTGTTTGTCTCTGAGCCAGTGAATGAAATATACAGCCTGAAGTGTGTATGAGTGTGTCTGTGTCCTGGCACGTGTGAGGTGGTGTGTGGGCGTCGAGAGGGAAAGCTCATAAAACCCATGATCACACTGATGAGGTCACGGGGAGTGAAACCGGAGAAAGCCTTTCATTTCCTGTCTCATTCCATCCCTCTCTCTCCTACCTCCATTCATCCATCTCTCCTCTACACTCCTGCCTATACATTTTACCCTTGTTTTTCCGCAGTGATGCCAAAAGTCAAAGTCTTTCGCTGCTTAGCTGGAATTTTTCAGTATGTGTCACCCAAAAAATGTAAAACATACTCATTTTATAGAGTTTTATTGTCTTTCTTTAAAATGCAAAAACAAGTAAACCAACTTGAAGATTAAACTAAAGACATAATTACTCTGAAATATAAATGTATTTCTACATTGCCAAACTTTGGGATATGTGTCAAAAGAACACAGACAAGGTTTTTGAACAGGTAAAGCAAGTTGGTTGCAGCTTACGGTTCTGCAGGACACAGTTCATGGAAGTTACAGGGAGGAATGTTTGGTAAACGGTAGGTGTCAGCAAAGTGAAATGCCCATTTGAGACTGTCACCAGTTGCTGTGAATCAACATGAGTGAGTACAATCTTAAGTAATATGTATAAATGTGTATAGACCACAGAGGCTAGTTTTTTTTTTCTCACAAAACTTCCATCCGTGGCCAAAGGGAGAGTGTATTGATGTCAGTGGTCACACCACTAAGCTTGAGTTATTTTCTGTTGGAAGGAGAAACCAGCACCAACCATTGCAATCACACTGTGGCAATCATAGCCATGGAACAACACGCAGGAAAGAACACGAGGGAGTGTTCACAGCACAGGCGCCTGAGCAATGGAGACTGTGACTAGAGGTGTAATACTCCCTCACATTAGCAGGTACTCTAAATTTAGCAAGCCAATTAACTGTGCTGCTTATTACTAGTTCAGCTGTAGAGTCATCGAATGTAAAAAGACAATGTCATGCTCACTCAAGATCACTCTTACTTGCTTTTACTTGATAAAACTGCAGAAACTTAGACCAATATACAGTATAGACACAAACAGTACGTTCAACATTCAAGTTTAGTATCTGATAGTGAAGCAGCCATGTGACAGAGTCAATAATTGCAACACAGACTGCATCTGAGTATTTTTTTTTCCCTTTGCGAAATCTGGGTCAGTATTCATATATGTAAGTAAATAATAAGTAAAGTTTATTTATTATAGCACCTTTCACAGCTCAAGGTCACAAAGTGCTTTACAAGACCATCAAAAAAGGAAAGAAACAACAACAAAATATAAGCAGCCAAGACTGCACACATTAGACAAGCGGTCTCATAATTGCCATGAAATTTGGTGAGCACATTTATGTTACCAAGGGAATAAAACTTTTTAGTAGTACTACCCCTATGATTTTTCTCTTTACACCAATCTCAGGAAAAACTTTTTACTTCAAAATCAAAATCGTCAGTACGGTGTTTGCCTCACATACTTGTATTGTTGGTTGTAATAAGCACTGCAGGGGTTGTTTGCAGTGCTTTATACTTCTACTTGTGTTTTGTTTGACAGGTGGTCTGACAAATCAGAGATCAACAGAGAAAGCTATTCTCTACTCAATGTTCGCTTAGTAAGATGCATTTACTAGCTGTGAGAACCATTCTCTTTTGAAAGAGTGCCCTCCATGACCATGTGGGATATTTGTCTTTGTTAGCTTGATTTTTATTAGCCTAAGACTTATGAAGCAACATATAGCCAAGATGTTTTCATGAGCAAAAAGTGTGACATTCATTTAATTTCTTGCTTACCATCAATTTTCTTCACATTTCACAAAAACCTCAAGGCACACCTGAGCTCACTTCATAACAGCTGTGAACCAGTGCAGCAGAGCATAACAGACAACTACTCCCGCGGTCACTCTTCTTCTTATCACAGGCTCATTACTGGTCAGTGTTAGACAAAAAAAAAAAAAACTCCAAGCAGCAGTAGCTGGCTGCCAGATTGTCTGTCCCATCTGTGTCCTCACGTTTAGTAGAGGGAGGAAAATTAAAGGCAGGAAAAGTAGATTTGATGCTGAGGGGAGCTATGTCTACTCGTTCGACAAAAACACTGGAAACATTAAACAAGAGACAGTGCCAAGCTATAGTATATCAGATAAAAAACAAAAAAAACAATAGACAACACAATGACAAAAGGAGTTAACGTCAAATAAAAGACACCCTCATTAGGAAATGTAATTCCTTTTGAAAAATGAGTGAGCAAAGAAAGACAATGAAATATAGTATCTACAGAAACTAGTCTGTGTTTGTGTAGTTTTCTCAGATCATCACTAAGCAAACTGCCACTTCTGATTAATCTTGATCGAACATCTCTTTGTGTTTGTGTGTCTATAATACATTTTGTGTGTTCCCCAAAGGGGAGCTAGTAAAGGAGCAGCACTAACAGTGATTAGGTATTCTGCATTCAGTATAAGGTTTAGCATAAGGGACCTCGGGCTTACTCAGAACCATATTTTATGTATTTTTTTTTATTTATTCCAGTTTCATAAAAACAAACAAATTAGATAATGTGGATGGGGAGTCTGGGATTAATTTTGAAGCAGCTGATTAGTGTGTGTTTGTGTGTGCGCCCTGGGATAATTGTGTCTGGGACCTTGCCTAAAAAGCCTTCAGGCTTTACTGCAGTCTGGGAGATAGAAACACTCCCTCTTCCTCCTTCTCCCCTCCCTCTCTTCACCCATCCCCCCTCCAGCCCACTCTCCTATCTTTTCACATTTTCCTGTTGTCTGGAAGGAAAACTTGTTATTTAACTGGAGTCTTCTTTCCTCTTTCCATCACTTAACACATCTGCTCCTCAATTTGTCCCACCTTACTTTTCCTCCCAGCTTCATGCCATCCTCCCTCTTTCCCATTCTCATCCAAGCCACTCCTCTCTGATGAATCAGATCACACCGCTGAGTGTGTAACTTGCTTAATTCTTCATTTTGAGAAAATCAAGGATGCAAAGTACACAGGAAATGCTTTTAATGTCAGAACCACATCAGCAGATAAAGCCTGTCTTTTAACAAGGTAAAATCTGTTTAAGATTACAAGTTGAGTCCTTCAGTGAGTTTGTTCAAGTGTCCGCAACAACAGTAAACAAAGTCTGCTTGGAATAACAATGATCTGTCTTTGACAAACTGTTCAAAGCAGTACAAAATAAAACATATCTTAAAGAGTTTAATGTGAAGTATATGAATAATATAATATATATTATTATATTCATAGAAAATAAACAACTACAGCTCAAATATGTAGCTATCAGCGTTACTGCTGAAGTGCAAACAATTATGAATTCCGTCTCAATAAACCGCCCTATCAGAGTCTCCTCTAATGATCTGTAGATGGCAGTGTGTGCAGATGGCTAGCCAGGAAGTTGAGAGAATAAAACATTTTAAGACATTTTGCCTAGGCAGTCAGGTTTAGTGTTCAATCGCAAGCAAAGTACCACTAATGATACACAGGAACCATATACACAGGCTAAAGATAAGCCTGACAAAAGCAACAGTAAAGGTCATTCATATGAATACACTCAACAAGGCTGCCCTGTTCAGTTCTGCTTATAAGAACAATATAAGTTCTCATCCACAGTCACTGTGACCATCATGCCTCTCAGTAGCTTTGTGTCAGAAGTCCAACCAGAATATGAATTTTAGGAAATAAGTGACTCTATTGCAGGACCCTGATCAGATCCAGGCCAATCCGTCCCCTCTGCGGGTCCACATTCAGGACCCGGACCTCCACCCGTTCCCCAGGTCCCAAAGCCAGGCTGCGACGGCGCTGGCTGACAGGCAGTTTGTCCAGGGTGATGTTGCTCTTGTGTATCAGGCCCGCTCGGCCAACACCGATATCTACAAAAGCCCCGAACAGAGTTGTGTTGTCCACCCGGCCTGTCAGCACCGCACCCACCCGCAGATCACTCATCGACACAATGCCCCGCTTAAAGTCCGCCTGCCTAAAATCTGGGAATGGCAAAAAAAGAGAGAATATCAAAGATGAGATGGCTAGATGAAAGAAATCTATGACAAAAATCACATTCAGGTGACAGCTAGCACAAATGTTTGGGAGGAGAGACGGCAAGAGGGGAAAGCAAGGGGCGGGGCTGCGATGACAAACATATTACATTTCGAGCAGCAATACAATACTTGTCTGCATACTTCCACATTTCTCAGAATTCTATTACTCACTTTCCATTCAGCCCGTTCATAAGAGATCTTTTTCCTTTCTGTAGCATTAAAACAAACAAGGAAGGCTCGCACCCCAGGAAATAGTCCGGTCCAATTATCCTCCCCACAGCACTGATTTCATGCGGTAGCCTCGGCCCATCTGTTTACTCAGCTGAGCACTGGCTAGGAGGCCAAGCGTAGTGTGCTGCAACCGAATAGGGCCAACCTGAGAATGAACCTTGAAGCTGCGTTCCTCAATTTTAAGAAGAGTTAGGCAGCACTAACTGGGTATCCAGGCCTGACTCTCCACATGAACTGTATGAAAAAGATAATAAGGTACGGAAATGATTTTGGATTTAACTGACCAGTCTGGAAATCAGACATCAATAACAAAAATACTATATATACTCAAAAGCATTAATTTAAGAGCCTTTTTGTTGTTGTAAACTTTTAAATTAACTTTTAAATTAGTTTAAAAACTATTTTGAAAATCGATTAATCGTTTTGATCACTTTTTTTAAAAGAAATAATGTCCAAATTCTCTGATTTCTTCTCAAATGTGAATATTTTCTGGTTTCTTTACTCCTCCATGACAGTAAAATGAATATATTTAGGTTGTGGACAAAAGAAGAAATTTGAGGACATTCTCTTGGGCTTTGGGAAACACTGATCGACATTTTTCACAATTTTCTGGAACAAACAACTAGAGCCCGACCGATTTATCGGCTGGCCGATATTATCGGCCGATATGAGCTAATTGCATTTAATCGGCATCGGCTGTATATAATGGCAGATATATGACAATTAGAAACAAACACGCTGAGGGCTGTGTTAGCGGTGAGTCAGTCTTTTGTCACGTTTATTACTTGCTAACTTGCTACTTGCTCCCCATTTTTCCTAGCAGCTCACAGCAGGTTAATGTTACGGTAGCTGGGTGTTGGAAGCTGCGCTGCTGACAGACATAACAAGAAAATAACACGACTTCCTGTAGCTCAGGCTCTTTTTGTGACGTTGTAGATGTGAAACGCTGTTAGAGCCGTAACGCTGTAGTTATAACGTTAGTTAAATGAAATCTCAAAGTTGCAGGTTCTCGTTGTAGAGAGTCATGTTTTATTAGATGCATTCAACAGCAGCTCACTCTATCATAGACGGCATGATTTAGACAGATGATGAGAAATGGTTTCTCGTAGCTTTGGTTAGAAGAGTGCTGGTAAAGGTATGAACTACATGTGAATATGCTACATTGGAATTATGGCAGATTATGTGTAAGGTGAAATACACATGCTTATTCTCTCTCTGTTTACAGACAGCTGAAAAAGTTGTACATTCCAGCAACAAATATTTATTGATTTGCAATTGTTTACATGTTCACTGTAATCTATTTTATTAACATAATCCATTTAGGAAAAGGTTTTATAGCCCACATACATACCAGCTTTCAATATCGGCCTGTTCTAAGTGTAGTACTATCCAAATCATTCTCTAAATCTAAATATCGGCTCATAAATCGGCTCTTTTTCACTTTAATATCGGCATCGGCCCCCTAAAAACCCCTATCAGTCGGGCTCTGCTAACAACTAATCGATTAATTGAGAAAATAATCAACAGATTAATCACTAATAAAAATCATTAGTTGCAGCCTTAATAACAATCTCCAAATAACAAAGAGACAGCAGCGTTTTAACCTTAATCAGAATTTGAAGCAACAGGACTTTACTTTTACTGAATAAGCTTATTAAATCTAACATATATTAGATTTATATACAATACATGAGCCAATTTCGTTTATATTTCATTCATGTTTTTCAAGAAACAGAAAAGAAAAGTGAGAGATGTGGCTTAAATTCATCTTGAGAAAACACTATTGAGCTACAGAAAAATCTAAAAGTTTGTGACTGTGTATGATTTTATTGAAATGCTTATGTGTGACTGAACTCAAGAGTTTGACATTAAGGAGAAAAACAGAGGTCTTTGTGTATGTGTGTGTGTGTGTGCGTCTGTAAAGTTAATCTGTCCAACAATCCAGAGAATACTTCTTGTTCTGTTGGGCTACAGGGAGGACGCCACAGCACTGTCAGATCCTATCAAATTACACTGAAAAGATATGCCTATTATAATAAACGCAAGAAAATTCAGTGCATGTTTTAACTAGCAAACCAGTCAAAAAACTGGACAAATACAAGTTCAGCTTTTTATCAGTCAGGCGGGACCTATAAAGAACATTATAAAGGAAAGATGAGAGACCAAGAGAAGTTACTGCGACTGCTAGGTTGCAGATATGAGCTGTCTATGAAATTTTTATACCATTGAAAACACTGATAGTTTTTCTGTTCAGTGACTTCTTTCACAGAAATATGTGTAGTAATAACAGAGAACCTAGGGGAAACAATTAGAAATAAAAGTTTAACTGTGGTTTTGCTCAATTTGATTCCTATTTAATGGATAATGTGTAATGAACATAAAAGTATGTAAACATTGTTCAATCCCTCTCACAACCTGAAATATCAAACCATTAAAAAATCTGTGTAAATTGTGAGTTTACATTAACGAATATGCATTATTTACTTCCTCTTGGAATTATTTTTTCTATACACTTTTTTCTTGTTTTTTGTGTTCGTGCTCTTCCACAATTTTAATCATGACGTTATTGCAGTGTTTGTGCAAGATTAAATTCTTGACATTATGTGTTTTACCAAAAGAAATGCTGATGCTAATACTGCATTTCAGAGCAACTGTGAGCGGGCAGGAGTCTTACTTTGTCGTATGTCAAACCCAGGGGGCCGGGTGAGGTCATCTATGATAAGCTTAAGGGTCTCAGGTGTGGTGTCCACTGTCTTGGCCAGTTCCTCGACACTGCTGGTCCTAACCTTGCTCTCCACACACTGTCGCAGGCCTCCACTCCCGATCTGGTCTGCACTCCCACCCACGAGGGACAGAAATCTGGGCACGGGTGAAGTTTGTAAAAATATGTAAAACATAGTGCAAATTAAACTTTTAAAATGAAATAACACTGACAGCAACTCACATTTTGTATGTTTAGTTATGTAAGTGACCAGCAGGAAACAAAGAGTTCATAAATGGGTTTTAATAGCGAGTGGTACTAGTTGGGCTAAAGCAAATCCTTCACCGACTGCAGGAGAGAACTGGGGCTATGAGGGATGGAGTAAGAGGGAAGGAAAAGAAGAAGAGAGGGAAGGAAAAGAAGAAGGGACGGAAGGAGGGGGAAAAGTGACGAGAGACTGGGAGAATAATGAGGAAAAAAAAGAATTGTCAAAAAAAAAGAGAAAATAAAAGATGAGAAAAGCAAAGAAGTAGGAAGGAGGCAATGCTCATGCAGGTAAAGTGAGAGGGAGCTGGGGAAAAAGAAGGAGGGTAAGAGTGTTGTGGGAGTAATTACACTCAAAGTCATGATCTGCAGACTTTCTGTTCTCAAAAGCACAAATACACACATTTATTTAACTCCCTATTAAATCAGGGAAAGCCACAGTGGGCTGTAAACACCCTGACACCTTGTCTCATGAAACTGCCTCCACTTTGCTAAGGTCGGACTGTTTGTCCATCCGTCAACTGCCTGGAAAAATCTCCCTCTATCACTTTATTCTAGCAGGATGTCCCACCTCCAAAATGTCTAGACAGTCAATCAGGTTGCACCATTTAAAGTTCACTGAGTCTGAGATATAAATCCAAACTAATTAGCGAGTCTACAATCTAAACAGACTTAGTAACAAACTGGCATGAGAGCCAGAGTAGTAAATAGGAGTTATGGAAACATGTGGGATGTGTGTGAGTATTGTGTGTACTGTATATATTATTTACAGTAGGCACTTTCTGCAGCTGGTGATAGATGTGAATGCATTTGCCTCTATGTATGTGTTCATGTGTGGACCAGCTGGGTAGCGTCCGTGATGGATGTCGCTCACTGACAGCCTGACGCCAAACAGACTACGCAGCTGTCCCTCGCCCCATGATGGACAGAACAGGTGGACGCACACACAAGACCATACACACAAAGTTGATGCATACACGATGTTGTTCAGAAATGCTCATTTGGCAGTAGTATGGACAGTGCGGATGTAACGGGACACGGCTTGTGTACAAACTATGTATGGGGACAGCTGTGAGTAAAGAGGCCCCTGCCAGCAAAGTCACCGTCTACCTTCCAAACAAGAGAGACAAGAGGAATCAATCCCTCAACACCAGCAAGCCAGATCGGTACAAAATAGAAGCAGAGTATGTGCCAGAAACGGCTTAGTGGTTAGGAAACAGCACCTTTGGAACAAAATGGATGTCTGCCTAACACTAGTATCTTCTCTCCTGTGTCTCCCAAGGCTTCTTAACTTTCCAACCATATATCTCTTTACAGGAAAAGAAATACTTGCGTCTTGGTGGCCTGGTGGTCTAAGACGCATACCACATAGCTCTCATAGTTCGAATCAAGCTTGGGACCTGTGCTGCAAGTCATTCATCTTCCTCTCTCTTCTACCCAATACATTTTAAATGTGGCTGGGTACATTTTGTTGGGTGTTCATCTTCAACACTCACTGGAGTATGAAGTGCAGCACAGGAGGAAATATTTTTCCCCAACTAGTATAAGTACAACCAGCAAAAGTATATCACATTTCTCATTTTATAATTCCTTACAGATATTCAGAGAAACTTTTCGTCTTACAGGAAATTTAGAAAAGGCTGTTCATGCCACTAGGACTTCCACTGCGGCTTTAATCAACTTACTGTAGCTTTTCGGTTCAAATACGCTAAGGCACAGCACAATATAGTAGACCATAAAGCCATTCAAACATTACACATCTAAACTTATGAACACAAAGGTCAAAGATAGTAGTTACACATGATCAGTTTTGAGACCAAATTTAAGAGCATCTCTTTAACATATAAGTGACAAAAAATATTTAAGAGGGGGAGCAGATGAGAGGTCTGAAAGAGTGAAAACAGTGTGTGTGTGTGTGTGTGTGTGTGTTGCCCATCTCATTTTCCAAGGGTGTATGTTAGTATTTAAGAGGTACCAGGAGTCCAGAGGCCTCTACCACTGTTGGGTTCATACTCATATAATTACTACCCCCACACACACACACAACAATGTGTGTGAGTGTGTAAGTGTGTGTGTGTGTGTGGGGGGGGGGGGGTAGGTGTGAATGTGGGTTTGGGTGGGCTAGGATATAGATTTTATCCAGGCCCACAGCAAGAACCCACTCTGTTTTGTATTATAGAAATATTGGGCCCCGACTGTTACATATCAGGGAAATATTCGTTAGAGTGGACCCCCTCTGTCTAAAATCGGAGTAATAGTATATATTTCATGGAATGGACCCAACTGTGTAACAACAATATGCTCCCTTGATATTTTGATGTGAAATATTCTAATAAAGTAGATCCTCTACATCTGAATATTAATATTATTTACAGAAATGTTTCACCATTACATATCAGAGATATATTTGCTTTTAAGTCTACATAGTCCATTAATTCTGAAACAAAGGTGGACTATTTGTGTCTGTGCAATTGCGTTCTTGCGTGTACGTGTGTTGTATATGGTTACAAAAAGGGGTGATGTGTGGGCTGTGAGCGGTAATGGAGGATCCTGTTGCACTAATGTGATGAACATGATATTCCTTATACACCATAAGGACACACACACAAAACAGCATTCCTCCACAATCCTCCCTCCATACATCCTGTTTTCATCGGTTATAGGTGAGGATGTGAGATGAGAAGGGAGGCAGCTCAGTGATGCCCTAACATCTAACGCTCTACGCAATTTGAGACTTTTCATTTAATGTCATTAAAATTCTCCCTATATACTAATTTGTTTTTCAGAGAATTTCAAAATAATATTCACTTTAAAAATATAAAGCTGACTGAAAAAAAACAATTAAGTAAGAAGGAAAATGTCCAGCAAGTCCTTATTAAACAATCACTTTCTATGAATGACAAAAAACTCACCAAGGAAGATGAATCAAAGTCTTATTTTACAACTGTAATGGTGAGGGCTGATGAACGCATGACATTTCCTGCACAGTCATCAGACCTCAACCCCACTGACCATCATCGTCAACATTTAAAGAGGGATGTGACATACGGAAAAACCACAGTCATAAGTCATAACAAACGAACAACATTTGCCAACAGAGGGTTAAGAATTCTGAACGGCAGGAAAGACAGAAAAGCAGAGAATGATAAGTAGACTGGTGAGAAACAGGAAAAAGATTCAAATATGGAGAGAAAAGAAGACAAGAGGCATGAAAGAGGAATGCACAGTAGACTGGTGTTTTTTTACTACATACTACATTCTATTTAGCTAAAGGTAGGATATTTAATGTACTAATACAGCAGTCAAAATATGTTATGTAGTAATATGTTTATAGTTGAACGTAATTTTTTATTCAGAGGAATATAAAATCAATCAGTTTAACTCCAGCCCCGACTGATAGAACAATTAAAATTGAAACACATCTACAAACGTGTGACAACGCCTACAACATAAAAACACAGTTTGAAGCCAGGTCTGTGTAATGACGACTGATGTTTATTAGGTCCCCATTACAACAGCAGCATTTAGGCACCTATCTGAGTTGTTACAACAAAACACCACTAAGAAAGAAAGACTGTCTGAAAGAGAGAGAGAGAGCTGAACGGATGGATAAGAAAGAGATAGCCCAGAAAATAGAAAATTAAACAGACAATGAAACATAAGCTCTGTGATAACAAAATGGCCTATATGCTGAACACACAAACCCACAAACACACACGGTCACTTAGCTGAAGTAGGAAAGACAAGCACAAACGCTGTTTCATACAAGCGGTATCAATCCATATTCACACATGGGCGCATAGACACAGCCGCCCACACACATGCACTGAGGCCATTAAAGGTGCATCAACATGAGGGGAGAGATGCTTAGAGCCACTAGTGTCAGAACCTATGTAGACTAAACACAGTTGAGTGACTACAGCTGTAGGAGAGAGGGCCCTCCCTCTGTCTCTCTCTTTAACTCTCTCTCTCACACACACACACACACACACACACACACACACACACAGGACAGGACATAGAAGTCTTTGGCAGATGTTCAATGTGCTTTTGATATCAGCATCAGCAGCGCTAGCAATCATTTCTCACACCAGGTCACGCACGCACGCGCGCACACACACACACACACACAGTTACACAGACATACACAGCCAACCTCCTCTCTTGTATCCCTTGTCTGTTTAAATCAAATCAGACTCCTCCACCGCCATAACCAGCCCCATATGAAACGGTGTCAAAATCAACTCCATCTTAGCCCAAACATGCTTTGGCCAGTGGGGTAGGCTGGCAGGTAAGAGTGTGTGTGTGTGTGTGTGTGTGTGTGTGTGTGTGTGTGTGTTTGCGTGTACTGTACCTCTCTGCCACATGGTAGGACTCTGGGTGGATACAGGTCTGGTCCAGAGGATTAAATGAGGTTGGTATGTTGACACAAGTCTTTCCTTTGCCCTTCTTAGCTGTTGCTTTCTCTGGCACTGCTGGTGCAGGGTGAGGTGAGGATTTGGCACTGCTTTGAAAAAAAGAAAGCCATTTTAAATTTAGGAGGAAGTCCAAGTCTTAGAAAGCCTTCATATCAAAAACACAACTTTGCATCAAAAGGTCGGTTCCCCATAAAAAACACATTTTCTCACATACCTCTTGTGATATCTATGCTTTCAACACAAATAAATTCCACAGAGGTTAGAGACCACTAAATGTGCAATATGTGTAAACTGACCATTTAATGACAAATAGGTAAGAAAGCAGTGTGAAACACAATCACCGTGTGTCTATGTGTCCGTACATACAGTTTGCATATGGGTGTGTACGGTGTGTACCTGGTTTGTGGGTTGATTCTAATGAAGCCGGCACACTGCTGGTAGGTCTTGGGCCCCATGCCTTTGACCAGTTTGAGTTGCTCCCTGTTGATGAAGGGACCCTTCTGCTCTCTCCACTCTGCAATATTCCGTGCCCTGCCCGCATTTAGGCCTGCTACATGCCTAGGAGAAGAAACCACAGTTTAGTTTCAAAATAAGATATCTACAGTATAACTACACTAGCATTTGCTTTACACACTGTCCACATCACATTTCTATAATGTACAAACAAATATAGCAGATTGTGCAGACCGTGACCTGGCAACAGTCACAAGAGACACACATGAGCCAATATCTAGTGAGTATATTTGTCCAGTTTTGGCAGAGCAATTACAAAAAAAGACGTGATTTGAAACTCAATTAGGTCTGCTCTGTTAATGCCCACAGTGACTCAGTCACACTAAAAACACACAGCAATGTCAACACTCCACCTAATACCTCAGTCATCAACACGTCTGTGTGTGTTTAATGTGTGTAGCGTAACTTCTGGCAGGAATGGAAAAAGCTCACTTGCAGAGCAGACAGGTAAACAGATGACCTGATGCCTGCCCTGCAGCGAACACCAACTCATTTATACTGTTTGTATCCATTGCAAGTGTATGTGTATCAAAATGTGCACTTCCTGTACCTTTGAATCATGTGTATGTACTATACATGTTGTAGTACATACGTGTCTCTGTGCATAGTATTTTATTATAATTGCCACTTTATTTACACACGTGTACTTTTCTATATGTGCGTGTGTGTGTTTCGAGCATGTGCCTGCGCATGAGTGAGAATGAAGCATTACCGTGACTGCTAAGGGAAAGTATGTCAGAGGTCTAAGCCCTACTTTATCTCTGTTTCATAATTTGCATATATGTCTGTGTATGTGTTTGTACTTTATGTGTTGTCTACCTCATCAGAGTCTCGGAGCAGATGTTAATGTCCACCCCGACGAAGCTCACACATTCCTGCACAACACCGTCCAGTGCTGCCTTCAGAGCTCCTGCTGACACATCATGCTAGAAACACGCATTTAGCAAACACACACACACACACACACACACACACAATGTCAGGCTGAAAATTGGATTAGCAGAGAAAACAACATTAAATAACTGCTTTCGGCAAAAAGGGTGCCCCCTGTTCTTAAACACACACAGACATGCTGCAGATAAGAACACACTCTGTATGAATTTTTGTGGTTTGGGACTTATATAATATTATTATTATTAAATATTATATAATATTTTAGAGATAAAATCACAAAAAAGTTTTCATGTTAAAAGGTTTTGCCGCTATTATATTTTCATCCAAACCTGTCTACCCAGTATGTTTTATTGCAGACTTTATAATGGACTTCACATAATCTCATTGTGTTTACATAATCCCCATTCTGTATATTTGTTCACCGTTATATTCCATTTAAGGCTTTGGGGGAAAAAATCTAATTGCGATTTTTCTGCGAGATATTGTGATTACAATTCGATTTACAATTTCTTTAAATTGAAGGTTTGCTAAAGTTCAATATTCACTGCCAGTCTATTTTTGACGGAAGCCACATCAAGCAGCACAGAGCAGATGAACCAGGCAGGAAATCAGACACAGAACGGCACAGAGAATTCGGTCGATTTTCAAAATAAAACTCCCTTTGCAGAATCCCGATTGTACATCAACAATAAACACACTTAAAACAGACAAAAAATAAACAATTTAACTACGTAGTCTACTTAACCATGGCAGAAGCACACAAATCAAGGACAACTGAACAAATTAGCAAAATCTGAACAAGTCAGCAAAATCAGACAGGCAAAATGCTCTTATTCTGAAATACTCCATGTGGATATGTAACGTTGGCCTGCAGAGAGGGGAACGGGCTCACAGCGAGCTGTTATCCGTAGTTGAAGAACACAAAATTACAAATTAACAACACGTTAACTTAGTGCAGCTAAAAGCTCACACTTCAGTGTGAGTTGATGCCGGACAGAATCGCGGCTCAGCCGCAGCTTCTGTCTGTTCGGCTGGCGCCACTTGCCCACATTTTGCTGTAGTTTCGTTTGTGTTTGTAAAATGTACATGCCCTGTGCCCGCTCTGATTGGTGAGTAGGACCGTAAAAGGAGGCGCATGGAGCTTGTGATTGGCGAGCAGATCTGTCACACAAGGATGACAAACGGAATGACTTTTTAACTGCATGACTGTTTAAAACAGTCAGATGCGCTGAATAATTAACCTACATTTTAATCACCACTTCATGACTAGCTAATCGCTAGACTTCCTTCAAATCGCAATTTCGATTTGAAAACGATTAATCGTTCAGCCCTAATTCCATTTTTGCTATATATTACTATCTGATCAGGGGAGGGACAATTTCCCTGAGGGGGTTATTAAAATGTCATCCTTAAAGAGATAAACAGCAGCACAAGAGAGATGATTGATTGACAAGTAGTACAGCAAGTAAGAGGCGGAGAGAGAAACATACGGAAGCACAGAAGGGAAAAGACAGAGAGAATGTTTAGTTTGGCTTGTCAACAATCTCTTTCCCACAGTGGTTTCCTTAGTGTAGCTTGCTGTCCATAAATATCCTCACACTTCTCAACCACCAGCCAATCAACCATTAGTAAGGAGATATTGTCCAAAAGAACTGAAGGTCTTTTCTAATAAGGAGCAGTGCAAGACAGCCAACAAAGCAAATAAAGGAAAGTGGCTGATAATGTATCAATAAGCAACATTTAAAAAAACAAAACAATGTTTAGCTCACATAAAAAACAAAAAAATAAATAAACTTGATCAAAATAAAATATCAAAACAGGATTTAAGATATTCTATGAAATCTGGGAGTCGTCCCCAGACAAACAGAAACCCTGGGCTGCGGATAGAGCCTAAAACCAAGATGTTCAGCTGGAGACTGATGGCTCAGCAACTGCTCGAGGATTAGCTGACAGTCTAAACTAGACTACTGTTAGGTTGTGTTTGTGTGTGAACATGACTGAGACTAACATGGGTCGTCCTGTAACATGATCAAGCACTGAACAAACACTGGCTTGTAAACCGATAACACCAGCTAGTAAATGCACCCTTCTCTGTCAGCAGTAACAGGACAGCAGGCCAGATGAGAAAGGAGAGGGAGACAGACAGAGACATTTACGGGAGAAACTGACTACTAAGTTTTGCTAGGCCATTTATGAAATATTCCCTAGTTTGAAACTAGAAGATTTTAACCTACGTCACTGAACAGGTCCAGTACTAAACTATCCTCACATATAAAATCCTTTATTATAATTTGACAAAATCATTTATCATTAACGCAATTACTTGGACAACTTCCAGAACTATTCAGAAGGTGTTTTCTAATGATTTGGTTTTATTTAGTCAACAGGGGGCACAATACAAGGCCCAAGTTAGTTATCTCCAAAAGGAAGCAGCACCTAGAAGGACATTCCCAGCTTGAAAAAGTGTCTACCTGCACTTTAATAGCTGTCAACAATGATCATGGTTATGGGATGAGCAGACATGAATGATTAACTTGAAAATATTTTCCTTATCTTCGCACTGCCAAGACGAGATGTTATAAAGTAGAAGGACACTGTGTCAACATTTCATCTTTGAAATAATGCATTTCATATGTTTGATTTAGGCAGATTCTATTTTCAATTAAGCATTCTAAGTTTCTGTTTTTTATCAGTGAACTTTTAATAACAGGGGAAATCACTTGCTCTCTAATGACACTGAAACTGTTGTTACAGGTGCATATAAAAAAGATCTTAAATGAACCTTTGTGTTTTTGATATATTACATCATGATAAATACAGACGGACAGCTTATAAACCATATTATTTCATATTAAAAATATTTATTTAAAAATGCCCTTTTAAAAAGTCTGTTTTCATATCATTTTCCCAATAACACTTTTATTTCATGAAACTTTTTTGTTTCCTAAAGTCACTTTCATGAAAGTGATGGTGTCATCATCAACCTCTCACCTATCAGCCAACACTTTCTACCAGATTTAGCCATTTAGCACCTGTTAGCTAGAACATGCTACATGATTGGCTGAAAGGTAAAGGGGCGGTACCTGCTGACAACACTGTAATAAATAGTGACATTGTGAAATAAAACTGGTTAGTCTGAAAAGTGAAATTAGGAAGTAAAACTTGAAATGAACATGAAATAATAACAAAAATAAAGTATGGTATATATGTCTATAAATAAATAAAATATCAACTAAAACCTTGTTCATTTTAATAAAAAAAATTTCATAAATTCTTTGTTCTTTTATTTATTCTACACACGTTATTCATTTTATTGTGTGAAAAATAAAGGAAATATAATTTCTTTGTAATTATACATGTGAGACCTGCAGTCTGATTGTTAGCAAGAATGCTGAGGCGCTAAAGCCAGAGGCATTTCGTAGACAATAAAAATATTTTCCAAACAACAAAAAACTAGTACTGAAAGTTTTACAATTTCCGGTAAGTGGATATAGAAAGAGAAGGGATAAAGACAGATATAGCCAGAGAGGAAATCACCTGTAATGTCACACCAGAGAATGTTTTCACACGAGAAAGGTGGAGGTATGCGAGGCAGAGTGAGTTTTAACCTTCAGTAAAACCACAGTGAATGTGTTCTCACATTCTTATTGAAACCTTACAAAGGTGAGAGCAGCACAAGAGGATCTAAGGTATTATAACAGCTAACACAGAGCTACTAACACACTCAGTACGTAACTGTGCAAAATTAGGGGTGGGAAAAACTGAACTGAAACTGCAACTTAAATTTAATAAGTATCCATTTCATTCCAGTTAAAAAGTAAAGTAATGGGGGAAAACAAACATGGTCACACACATTAAACACCAGGGCAATTGACACAGTTGCAAGTCACAGCATTATCCGCGACAATTTGGAAACAAGGTTTATATAGCATGATTTAAGCGAAGTTTACCCAACACAAATATTTACAATAGTTTATACAACTAATTGGTTAAAACCCCCCACCCCTGTGCTCAATTGTGCACAAACTCATAAACCTTAGAGTATGTATTTATGTCTGAAAGTACAATATGTATACACAGTTTTAAAGGTATTGGTTTTCTGTGAAGCATAGGCCCACTGTATTTTCCATGAAATCTGCTCTACTGTATAAATAAAGGTCTGCTTGTTCGTGCTAATGATTCTATAATGATTTGCTAAAAGACAAGGACTTTATTCTGTGACATACAGAACCACAGTCCATTTGGCAGAAACAAAACACAGTGCAAAATTTTAACTTTAATTTACAAAAAAAAACAACAACAAAACATTGCAAACCTCAGCTATGTATCATAAAATCACGTTGGCATGTATGGTGAAAACTCACTTCAAGGAAAAAATAAATATGACTTAAAAATCACACTCAGCCAACCACAACCCGAGGCCAAGGCTAGATTTCAAAACGAGAACCTACATTTATTGTTTATTGTATGTGAATAGATGATATTAACTGGCCAGGTCAAAAACTCAGATTAACATGAAATTCAAATGAAGAAGAAAACCAGGACAATCAAACAAAGCAACAGACCTAGATTTAGAGAAGCGTCTCTCTGGCACCAGCAGTAGTGATTTAATGCGCCAGAGTTGGAGTGGAAGAGAGTAACTCTTCGAGCAAGTTCTGCTCTATTAGTCTATTACACATACATACACACAATCCCGTATGTGTGTGTCTGCCATGACATCCAGACAGCCCCCATGGTGCTCTACTCTGTTAACAGTGGCACTAACACCAACGGAGCATGTCGTCCTATCTCTCGTGTCTCATGTTTCTCCCCCTCTCTTGCGTTCACAAATATCATCTAGAGGTAAACTGGCTAGTGGGCGCAGGAAATCACAAATGCAACGTACAAAAAATAAGAATGATCATCCTAGTCATGACTATGCAGTCCTAGTGTAGAGCATTCATTTTTTTCAGATGACTGGGGGACATTTATCATTCAGCTCTACTCCACCTCTACACTTCTTAAATTACGGCTTCCTCTCAAATGTCTTATC